GATGTTTATTTTGTGAACTCCAATTGGTATGGGCCGAAGCTTCATTTATCACTTGAGGTTCTGCAGTAACTTCTATTTACAGCCGCTCACCTCCAGTCCAGATCCCGTCAGCAGCGGCTTTAACCTGCCTGGTAGTAACGTTAAGGAGAAGCAGAGCGAACAGAGAGCAGCTGGTACCGGGACTTTGAGGCCCGTCGCCACTCGTGGAGACAGTCGCAGTACCGTGTCTTATATCAGGATGTCTGATATAAAGACATTCTTTCTATCTGTCGGTGGGACCGACTCAGACTGCCTGTAGCAAACGGGGCGGTATTTAGCGGACTGATTAAGTTAAAGTCAGAAGTTTTCTCACAGCCGAAGCATTTCTGCGTTTAGGGGCGAGGCGGGTTTTTTCCTGCTATAGCGAGGACAATTACAAAAATATGAATAGAAACAGTTTTTCTAATGTCAACGTCACCTACGTTTTTATTCACAAACCAGTGTATTTGGTTTGTGAATAAAAATATTCTTGCCTATAATTTGATAGAGGCACAGATCCGCTCCTCCTCACCATGGACCCGGCGTCTGAACAACATGAAGGCAGAGAAACTGAGTCATTATTAGACTGAGGGCAGCCAGACTAGTTCATTTTGCTAAATTATTATATTTAGCTAAACATTATTGCTGAGGGACACAAGCAGGCATTCTGACATACAGATAAAAAAAAAATAAAAAAAATTGGAAAAAAAAAATCTTTTGAAAAAAAAAAAATGGAAAAAAAAAAACTTTTGAAAAAAAAAAAAAAAACTACTCAAAAAGGGCATTAGGGGCACAAAGGTTAAAGAGGGCAGGTGCTCAAGCCCTCTCGGCCCCCCCTCTGCACGTGCCTGAATATAGTAAACTGTAATTATAACTGATTGCTTTTTAGGTTGGCCAATTAAACTAGTCCCCCTCTTTCAGATTAAATCCAACACATCTGTTAGAGGTGCTGATGTTTTTAGCAACAAAAGGGGCCCCTAAATCTAATTCTGCTGCACTACGCAGAGATGCGCAACAACGTTTATGAGACGAGTTTCTCAGATCTCGGCGCGGCCGCGCACGTTAACTCTGTCTGACTAAGTGGACAAAGCATTTGATACGGTTTGATGCATTGTGTAACCAGAAAAATAATACTAAAACTAATAATATAATAATATAAAATCAGCGTGATGCGTTACAGACAGGAGAGCACGAAAGCTCCTCACCAGGCTGAACCTGCATGATCAGGTTAGCGCTAGTTTGTTAACTAATACACCGGCCAACCGGGAACACATAGATAAACTTTATCAGCACAGGCAGAGCCGGGCGCTGAGCAGCGTGTTGAGATGGAAAAGCCGCACAAAATTCTTTGTTCACAAATATAAATCATTCTCACCGCTCGCTCAACATACCTCTGAAAGCGCGACTACAAGTTACTTCTGCAGTTCACATAGAGCTGCGCAACCAGAGCTAACCAGAGTGGTGTTTAAAGTCCTACCTTGATCAAAACCTCTGGAAAGAATCATAATTCCTCACAGAGGATTTATGTAAATATCCATACAGCTCAGCCTGTGTCTAGTTTGAGTGAAAGGAGGCACGCAGTTTCCGCGCTGAGGTAAACTTAATCCAGCTACTGCAGCGCGCCAGGTAACGAGCAGAGGCGCCAGCGGTATGATTGGTCCGGCTTTAAATGCATAAACTATAAACCTATGTTCTATAAGCATATATTTTAGGAATAAATCTGCTCTGCCAGTAAAGTGCTCAGAGCAACAGAGACGTTTGCAATCCGGCTTAAAAAAAAAAAAAAAAAAACGAAAACAAAAAAAAAACATTTTTTTTTTATTACTATTTTTCTGAAAACATAAACAAGAAAGGCTTAGCCTGGCGGGCCGCCAGGACTATAATACACTGGGGGAAACGCTGATCATAATGAAATTATTACTTCACATTTCTAGATCTAGCCTCCAGTATCTATATAAGTAAAATCTGAATTTATTCAGATGGCAGGAAATTCAATTAAAATGTATTGTCATATGCACTAAATACCCCAGCTGGATAAGCACAAGTTAGACATGGTTTTCTCATGCGTTTGTTCTTTGCATTGTAGGAACCTGACTTCTAATGACTCACAGTTTATGTTGTGCCCAGTGGAACCAGAAAGTCCAAGTGTGTTTGTGGTGATTGGAACTTATAAGACTGTTACTTCCAACCATATTTAGAACTGCAGAAACCTTTTGGATTACATGCGACCTGCCTCAAGAAATAAGAAAATAACTTTAATTTCCTTCCATTTAAGCACTTGGCATTACAGTCTCCTGGATGAGTAAGTGTTTACACTACCGAGGTGTGCATAGTCACGTTTTAGTTTCACCGTCCATGTGACAGGTAAGACTGTAGACAGCAAAGAGTTCACTCACTTTGTCAGCTGACTGAGGTCTTCACATGTGAAAGGAAGCAGCAACTTGAAGTGAGTCATCGTGTTTCCAGCACACCAGTCCAGCACCAGCTTTCGAACTATTGTAGCTTTCCCAGTTCCCACAGCACCATACAGCAGCACATTGAGTCCGCGACCTTCACACCAGGCATCGGTTGGGTCAAACAGCTGTTCCACAGTTAGTGAATGGCTAGAGGAGGTTTGGGTTTTGTATGGTGACTGGAGAAGTCCTGCCCTCTCCTCATCCTTTCTTTCTAAAATAAGTGGATCTACATGCATAGTCTCTGGGCTGAAGAGACCTCCAAACTGTTTCTCCTCCTTGGGAAGGTGGCTGAACCACAGAAAAAGTTTCCTCTTGTGTATCTCTACAGGGTCTATAATGAGAGGAAAAAAAGAAGAGGAATGTGTAAAAAATGTTTTAAAATGTTATGAATGAGGGGACGTTTGTTTGCTGCGTTGATTTGCCTCAGTATAGTTCTAGGTTTTGGATGCTTCTGCTCTGAATCTGATATGATGCGTTTGTCTTTAAGTACTGCAGTGGAACAAAGGCAGCAGTTTGCTGTTATCTTTATCTAAGAGTCTTCAGATTGAAACAGAGTCGAGTACCTTGATTAGAAGAGATGGTGCTGAAAGTCATGCAATGACAACAAAACGAGTCCCTTCTCTTCTTCCACCTCCATGCTGCGGGAAGTTGAATTCGCTGTCTGGAATACACAACATGTATCACCTGTTAATTCAGGTTAAACCCATGCAAAATGTTCTTGTTTTCAATTAAAGGTCAAGTTGAACTGCAGATTTTGGGTTAAGGGTCACTGGTTTTCTTTATAACCGTAGGTCCTTTTCAATAAAAAACATCCCAACCAAGAGATTAAAGCCAATGTTGACTTTTAAAATGAGGGATTTCCTGAAGCCAAAACCGGCTCACTAAATTAAAATGAATACAAACTACATGACATGCTTGAAAACACAGGTTTTTAAAGTGCAGCAAGATAACACATAACGTATGACACTCTAGGGCTGCACAGTGGCGCAGTTGGTAGAGCTGTTGCCGTGCAGCAAGAAGGTTCTGGGTTCGATTCCCGGCCCCGGTCTTTCTGCATGGAGTTTGCATGTTCTCCCTGTGCATGCGTGGGTTTTCTCTGGGTACTCCGGTTTCCTCCCACAGTCCAAAAAACATGACTGTTAGGTTAATTGGTCTGTCTAAATTGCCCCTAGGTGTGTGTGTGTGCGCATGGTTGTGTGTCTGTGTTGCCCTGCGACAGACTGGCGACCTGTCCAGGATGAACCCCGCCTCTCACCTGGAACGTTAGCTGGAGATAGGCACCAGCACCCCTCCCGATCCCACTGAGGGACAAGGGTGTTCAGAAAATGGATGGATGGATGGTATAACACTCTATATCACATGTGTCAATCTCATGGCCCAGGGGCCAAATCTGGGACCTGAGCCTTGAGTTATAGATTCTAGATTTATAGATTGGCCTCCAGATACTAAAGAAGAACTACAAGTCCCTCCAATTTTTCACAAATCCACAAAATTAAATTGTTTTTCTGACTTTACTGCAAATTTTTCTTGCTGGCTTCAAAATGTTTCAATACTCAGTAAGGCTCAGTCTTCCTTGATGTCAAGTTGTAGTCTGTGATTGACACAGTGATTAATAAAAAGTCACATTTAACATTATACTTTAGGGCAAATATTGTAAAAATTTGCTAGAAATAGTTCTAAATTAGCACCACAAAATCTGTCATTTTGATTGCAAAACACAAACACAATCAAAAATCCTGGCTGGGCTGATCAGTGTAGAAAGATGTTAGACACTTATTGAATGCTGAAACAAACCACTTTTTATTGATATTTTAACAGTTTAATGGGTTTTATCAATAGATTCTGGAACAACCGGATCTTTAAGAACATTCAGATTTTTGATGTGGAACAAAATTAAAATGAGTTTGACGCCTCTATATGCTCTATATGTTATTCAGTGGTGCTGTGAATAGCAGTTTCAATACTTTGTTCTCCTGTAGAAGCTCAGGTCTGCACACCATGGTGAAGGTCCACAGCAAAGTACACACTGCTGTCTAAGAAAAAGGGTGCAGGAAAATAAAACAGGAATTTACTTTATAAAAGAAAGTTGGTGTGCTGATGTAATAGTGTTAGAGGAGTCGCAGAGCCTTCACTTGAAATTTATACTAATAAACTGTCCACAAATTTACAGTCATATTCAATCAGATTACAAGTCATGATGAGTTTTGGCCTTTGAGTTTTAAGAGCCAAAACTCAAAATTAAGAGCTTTGGCTCTTAATTTTGGTTAACCACTTTTTTTTGTAAAGCTCAGTTCAGTTTCACAAGCCATACTTTAAAGTCAGACCTTTAAAATCAAGAAATGAAATGGAACCTGTCTGACAACACGTAGTAACAGGAGATCTTAAACAGCAACATAGCAGAATTCCCATCATGCCTATATTTGTATAGCATTGTGTCAACTGCTGAGCCTTCAAACATCTGGAAATTGTTCCCAAGGATGAATTGGAATTGTACACCTCCACATTTCTCTTCCTGGTATTGTGGCTTATTTCTTATTCTTCAGGTTTGGACTTAAACTATATGCACAGGTTTGGCTCCAGTCAACTCAAATGTGCCAACTTATCAGAAGTTTCCAAAGCCAAGACATCATCATCTGGGCTTTCCTTAATTGTTTAATGAGAAAGTAATCATATATGCAATCTTCTGATTTTGAAGACATTAATAAATAATATCTCTCCTATATGTTTTCAATCATCATTGTGGCATTAGCAAATAAAAATAATGTAGGTTATTCTAACTGACCTAAAACTGATTTAATGTTAGACGATGAGAAAAAAAAAGTGCCTCCTAATTTTCTGTAGGTCACAATCTGGTTTCACTTGTACAAATCTATGCCAGCTAAAAGTACATCACTCTGTTTCACTAACCTGAGTAGAATGCTCATCATTTTTGGTGTGTTATTATTGCCTTTGGTCAGAGTTGGTTCTGTAAAAAAACAAAACAAAAAAAAAAAAAACAAAACAGGAATATTAGGTGCAAAACATAACATTGTATTGTCTGTTTTGAGAGATATGTGATCAGATTTTTTTTTGTTTTATTTTTGTTTTTTTACAAAGGTACATATACCAAACACTGACATCTGCAGATGTCAGTTCTAAGCACAACACAACCAGACTTTAACTATATGCGCGCTCAGGTTGGTGGCACAACGATAACGACAAACAACTCAACCTTGCTAATAGGAAGTTCCTACAGAATAGGAGGCGGTTCTGCGTTCACACATTCAAACTCCTTGCCGAGACTTAACCTACCGCCTGAATCAGTGCGATAAGGACGCCCTCTGTTTGCCCAGCCGCTCCGCTGTGAGCACCGACCGACCGATCTATGGAAGCTACTGCAGCTCTGGAAAAACAGGAAGAGGTTTTATAGTGCGTTTTTTTCTGCAAAACTTTATTAACAATAGAAGTGGCACATAGATTACAATCCATATAAAGTTTATATCGTACAATGAAAAATTATCTCAGGAGGAGGTTAGAGAAATTTATTTTATTAAAGTCACTATATCTAAGAGAGTAATTTGAAAAAGAAAACATATTTGGATAGGCAGTCAACTTAGAAATTATTAAACTGAATGAATTATATATTTTTAGATATTTTTATTACATTTTTACAACTGTATTCTTCAAATATAGTCATCTTGAACACTAAAATTTTATATCAGAATCTTTATAAAACCATACATCCTTGTTTCTTCAGATAGTAGGGTTTTAAAATTTATGACATATGGTATACATACACACACATGCATATATATATATATATATATA